GTATTACATAGAACATAGTTGAAAAATTCTTATCTTTGTCTCTGCTTAGCGTAAATTTAACCTATTTGTTATGTGTGCACGTCCATTAAATAGTATTAATGTAAAGACTTTCATTTTATATGGAAGTACATGAATAAGAGATTCTTAGATAAATTTAACAAGAAAACATGGGCTGATTAACGTTGTGCTGCAGCCGTTTGGCCTTAATTCGACTTTCATGTTAATGCAGTCCACGAGGCATTCTTCAACGTTTCGGGCGAATACGGCTAAGCTTTCGTTCGTCATGTGACGAACATCGTCAGAGCTGGGACTCACTTTTTTACAGGCCTCAAGTTAACACGAAGTCAAGAAGACTAACCGACTTTTTTATACATGATATATATACTTATTGCAAGCAAAATTTAAGATAATGATGGATGTATAAATATTTTGTTAATTCGCGTATACTCGAATGTGTCTGTGTGTGTATGTTAATGTCTGTATGCAAAACCGGTAGTAAGTCAGAGTAATTGGAAAAAAAGCTTAATGTCAACCCTATCACAACTTCTCACTTGTTTACATTCCAATCTTCAAAATATGTGCCATTTTTTGGCAAACCAAGTGTGGCCTCATCACACTTGCTATTTACCCCGTATTCTCTTTCGATAGGCTTATCAGACTGCGACCATAACAGACGCCACAACATCTTGGTCTTCATATATTGTTTAAGTAAGTCTATGCTTAAATGTCAGGGTCCAATACCACCCGTCTGAACCCATTAGTCAAGGTTACTAAGATTTAATGACTTAAGGATGTGTATTGCTGGGATTGTGTAGTCTCTACGTCTATTTTGGTTGATGAGCTCGATATGTCTCTTGAACGAGTGTGCATTTGCTTAGAACCACCACTCAGCTGACAAGTTGAATTGTATTCTTTTGCACGGCGGCTCAACGCACACTCTTTCAATCAGGCATAAGTAATTTCTACTCAACCTTCGACCAACATTCCTCACACTCGACATATTCCCTAATCCATTAATTTCAATAGCCTCTCTTATCTTGCGTTTCGTAGCAGAAACAGGGTGTTGGGCCAATGTCCAAAAGAATACGACTTAACATGTCAGCTGAGTGATCGTTTTAATCAAATTAACACCCGTTCAACAGTCAAAACAGACGCGTGGGGCTACACAATCCCAAACAGGCTTCTCTTTTGATTATTAAGCCTTAGTATCCAAGACTAACGGGTTTGAACTTGTGGTTTCGTTAACTTATTTTTACCTCTACAGACTTCCATTTCATCAATTTAGCCAGGGTTACTCACGGATTAACGCGATCTCAGTCATCCTTTTTTCTTTTCATTTTTCCTTGGGTCGACCTTTTTTAATTACTCTAAGTTATGACCGGTCTTGCGTACAGACGTTAACATATATACAAATACAGACACTCGAGTATACGTGAATTAACCAAACCTCTCTATATCTAAAATTTTGCTCGCAATGAATATATATATATATATAATGTAGAAAAAAGTCGGTTAGTCTTCTTGACTTAGTGTTAACTTTAGGCTTGTGGAGGAATGAGTCCCAGCTCTGACGATTTTCGTCACATGACGAACGAAAGCTCAGCCGTCTTCGCTCGAAACATTGGAGTATGTCCTGTGGACTGTGTCGTATTAAGGCCAAACTGCTGCAGTACAATGCAAATCAGCTGACGTCTTCTTATTAGATTGACCTACGAATCACTTCATCATGTACTTCCATACGAAATAAAAGTCTTCACATCAATCTTATTTCTGTAGATTCTTCGAAACTCGCATTTTCTTCGTATATACCTTCTATACTAATCAAAAGAGCTTATTCATCAATGAATATTTCCTTTTCCCTTATTTATCTTCTTAATTGATAATCTATATTGATTTTCGCTTTATCGTCTTACCAAATTTTTAATCAAGGAATATGCAATTGATCCGCCTGTCTCACTTGCGCCCTGGCAGCGTAAATATCACTTCATCTGTGAGTCGGGCCTAGTCATCGACCCTCGGGCCCAGCACGCTGAGGCTCAGGACATGTCCAAGTGGTCAGATGACGAGAGGAATATCTTCCGTGAACGCTTTATGATCACACCTAAGAACTTTACTTCCATTGCCTCTTACATGGAGCGCAAAAGTGTAGCCGATTGCATCCACTACTACTACATGAGCAAAAAGGCTCTTGGATACAAGAACATGGTTAAGCGGCACAATGCTCGCCGAAAACGTGCTGCTCAAACAGAACGTAGTGGCGGAGGCGGAGGGAGCGGTAGTGGAACTGGATCAGGTGCATCCGGTATCAACGGTTCGTCTCATGGCTCGCATGGAGCCCCAGCTACTGCTGGTGGTGGTGGAAATCACGCTCACACACAATCTCATTCCCCAACAAACGGTTGCACTAGTTCTACCGACCAGTCCGCTAGCAGTCATCAGGATGGCCAAACCAGTCCTAGCATTGCCGATAAAGTATATAATCTTCATTCTCTACTACATAAATCTCATTATTTAGTTTAGATCAAATTTTATTTAAATCTTTTGTGATAATATCTTCGGCTTAACTGGAATACAATTCTATACGCGATTTTAACAATATGATTCGAGCCACATAGTTAAGAAAGCAAACTTCTCCCTCTTTCTTTAGGTTAAATTCGTTTCGATAGTATCTAGTTCCTAATTTATCTCAGCAAATAATTAGTGATACGGTGACCTAACACAACAGTGTGGTAGCATTACACTTATTAAACGTTTTTAAAATTTAAATTTGCTGTGGTTTCATTAAAATAGGCGTAAATAAAATTCACCAATCCTTATTTATATAATCATCATCATCATATTTAGCATGAAGCCAATTACCCTGACGCGCTCAATCATCCACCTGACAAGAAGGAAGTCACTTCCATTAATTCGACTACTAACAGCTTCATCAGCACTAGCACCACGACCACTTCTGGATCAGGGCGTGGCCGGGCTGGACGAGGTCGAGGCATAGGTAGCAATGCGTCAGCAACGACATCAGTATCAACGGCTACTACGGCCGCAACAATGATTTCGAACATTGTCATCACCAGCAGCGGTCTTTGTAGCAGCCCACGCTCTGGCAACACCATCACTACAACCAATTCGTCAAATGAAAACTCCAGCAGCAATGGATCTATCTTTACTTCCGCCACCTCTATGTCATCTTCCTTGCCTTCGATTATTTCTGGCACCCAAGCTAATGGTGAAAAACGAGCTGGTTCAATTGATTTAGCTAATGGTAGGCAGAACGTCCGGCAGCACGGGCATTATCCTCACAACATTCAGCAACAGCATTCTAGGCCTCCATCTGCTCACCAAACAACTGAGGATGCCATTCCGTTGAGCAGGCCAACTCGGAATACCGGTGCTCCGTGCGCCTCTTCGCATTCACATGATCCGTTAATTTCCGAGGCAATAGGTGATTTGCCTGCTGATACATCGCGAAATTTTGCATCTAACAATACAGAAGGAATAAGTAAGTATAAATCTTTGTTCATTCCATATTATTATTATTTTTACCACTTCTTTTCCAACACATCTTTTTAAGGTTACCTCGGTTTACAAAATAAGTCATTAAAAATAATCCACGTTTCCTTAAAAAACGTCATATCTTCTTTGTTAAGTGCTTAATTGCTAAAATATGCACAATCGCTCGATTTTTTGCACCAAAGACTTTAGAGAGGATACTAATATCTTATGCTTATTTGCATAGATAAAATAAGAACTTTACCTTAGCACAGTTTGACCAAATTTGCTACAACAGATCGGATTCAATTGAAGGTATGAAGACCAAGATGGTGTGGACTTTTGTGTGGTCGTAGTCTCCTTTCATTGTGTAGAGATTGTTTGACCTTGTTTTCGCAACTCGGTCATATTAGTAGGAAGAATTAGAGGAACGCACCTAGTACGGAGTCCATTGTATGCATGATTATTTCCAGAGTAGGACTAAGGATGTGGTACATTTCCAGTAGTTTCGCCGGCATCGTAGTCGGCATCATCAGTGAGTCTCGCCATTTTTAGTACCACACAACAACTTGTCAAAGAGACGAGCTAATCCGATCATTTGGCCAAACGTGTGATAAACAGTTGTATCTCCCCTTTTACCCTGGGCTATTCACATTTCCTATATCCTCCTATCACGCCTTCAATGTTACAATTTTTACCATTCCTATTTCGATCTAGTGTACTTCTTTGATAAGGGTTAAGGGGGTGAGAACGCCGGCGTGGAGTGTCAAGGGTTTTTATGAATTCCGCTCTAAGGAGCACACCACACTACATCGAAATAGGCACGGTAAAAATGTAACATTTAAGGCGTGATAGGAGGAAATAGGAAATGTGAATAGCCCAGGGTAAAAGGGGAGATGCAACTGTTTAGCACACGTTTGGCCAAAGGATCGACTTTACTTGTCTCTTTGACGAGTTATTGTGTTGTGCTAAGAATGGCGAGACTCACTGATGATGCCGACTACGATGCCGGCGAAACGTCTGGGAACGTATAACGTAACGGTCCTACTCTGGAAATGATAATGCATGCAATCTACTTTGGACTAGGTACGTTCCTCTAAGTTTTCCTACCAATATGACAAAATTGCGAAAACAAGGTCAAACAACCTCTATGAGGAATTATTTTCGTTTTGAGAATGCCGCTGAGTTAAAGCAGGCTAGACGAATCTGAATTCACTGCAAGCTTGATAATGCATCAATAGATTCGCTTTAACTCAATAAATGTTAAAGCATAAACACTTTTATCAACTTATTAACTTATTTAAAAGCTTCACTATCCTAGGGCACATAAAATGATATAAGGATGGATAGATGAGTTTTCCTACAATGATATGAGTAGGCTTCACAATGCCATTGACTGTCATTTAGCCTATACTCTCAAAAATTATCCCATTCAGAATGGACTGCAGGTTCGACCTAGCTAAGGTCTTGTCAGTACTCCAACAGGATTCGATACCTGGAGTGACTAAGCTCAATAATTAATAAGTAACGTCAACTGCAATTGTAAACGCAAGTTTGCTTGTTCGACGCCCCTACTATGATTGCGAGTTGAGAAGGGCATTACTTGTAGCCGTGGCCATGTAGTGTAGCGGAATCGTAAAATCGCAATCATACTCAAGAACCATTGTCTAATCCAGTTAATGGTGCTGAGACCAAAAATACAGTCAATTCTGAATGAGATATATGAGGCGTATTCACCCCATATCAGTTAAGGTGATGAGTGACTGGAAGTTGAATTTTGCCCTGTGACCCAGAGCATTCGTGGCAGTGTGGTGTAATGGCTAAAGTGTTAAGATTACACCAAGCACTGTCATGGTTTGACTCCCACTGGGGATATTGATCTCACCTAGGTGAGTGCGAAACTGCAGTCCACCCTGGAT